CTTTGTTGAGTAATGTTTCTGCCTGCTTGGATTTCATGGTGAAACCACATATATGTAAATGTCTTATGCTGCTTCCTTTTACTTTGACATTTTTGCTGTTTTACCCTGGGGTTTGGTAAAGAGAGGACCACGTGATGGACAGCTGAAACCTGATAACTGGATAGACGCATGGATGTTTGAGAGATTAAGCCAGATAGTAGTTAAATTGCAGGAATGTCTTAAAGACATAAAGACCTGGATGACCTCTAATCTTCTGCTTCTAAATTCAGATAAAACTGAGGTTATTGTACTCGGCCCTGAAAATCTTAGAAATATGGTATCTAACCAGATTCTTACTCTGGATGGAATTACCTTGGCCTTCAGTAACATTGTGAGGAACCTTGGAGTCATTTCTGACCAGGATATGTCCTTCAACGCACATATTAAACAAATATGTAAGACTGCATTCTTCCATTTGCGCAACATCTCTAAAGTTAGAAATATCCTGTCTCAGAGTGATGCTGAAAAACTAGTTCATGCATTTATTACTTCCAGGCTGGACGATTGCAATTCATTATTATCAGGATGTCATAAAAGCCCCTGAAAAGCCAGTTGATCCAAAATGCTGCAGCAAGAGTCCTGACAGGGACTAGAAAGAGAGAGCAGATTTCTCCCATACTGGCTTCTCTTTATTGGCTCCCCATTAAATCCAGAATCTAATTTAAAATCCTTCCATCTGATCTTAAATACATCACCGTATCATCCCAGTAGAGCACTTCACTTTCAGACTGCGAGCTTGCTTGTTGTTCCTTCAACTTCCTGTTAAAAGGGAGTTTTTCCTTCCTGCTGTCGCCAAGTGCTTTCCCATAGGGGGTGATTGTTGAGTTTTTCTCTGTATTACTGTAGGGTCTTTACCTGACAGTATAAAGCACCTTGAGGTCACTGTTGTGATTTGGAGCTATAGAAATAATCCGAATTGGGATGAGATGTCAGCTTTAGTTTTAGGGAACATCATGTGATCCAGCCTCGTCTTATCCTTTCACCTGGCCTCTGTATCACCCCATCGTCCAAACCAACCTCGCTAACTTTGTCTTTAACCCTGAGCTGTCACTCTGTTGTACTCATTTCTAATCCTGTCCCTTCTGGTCAGTCCCAACATCTTCAGCCTCCTGTCTTTTTGTCAGTGCCACTGTCTGCAGCCCACACATCACAGCAGGTCTCACTACCATCTTGTAAACCTTCTTTGCACTCTTGCTGCTATCCGTCTTCACCCTGCCTGCACTCTCTGCCTCCCCTCTCTGCTGCTGTCCGTTGCTTCAGATGGTTGACCTCAGGTATTTAAACACACATACCTTCACTCCCCCTCCTCCCTGCGGCTTCACTGTTACACCTGTCTCTCTGTCATTCATGCACAGATGCAGCTTTTGTTAGTATGAAGTTGAGCAATGAGAGCAACCAGTGGTCATACCAGGTCCAATGCTAACCGTGTCTTACCATTGCTCACAAGGTTCCTTTGTCACCAGTGACTCGGGTGTCCACTACAAAGCTCACATTGTAGGTCAGGAGGTGTTTTGCACTTTAAAAAAAAAAAAAAAAAAAAAAGGTATTTACTCAGTTTTCACTTTTACTCTCACTCTCCGTTTTTTCAGTGTAATGATATGGCAATTATCCAGCTAGTCTGTTGAAAGTTACACTCAGCAATTAACAGACTACTTTATGAAAGTTAATGTCCCTTCTTGCGGCACCATCCTGTTTCATTTTTCATCCGTTTGCACCTTGCCACATAACTTTGCCACAAAAAGAAGGAAAAGGCGTCGTGACCTTTACAGTTTTATTCTAGCTTGTTAAAATCAGGACACTGATACATCTTCATCAGTGCAGTGTCGGTAAATTGGATGTGTACTATGAGCTTGTGTCAGATTTAAGAGGTGATCGACTGCTTGCCTCATAAAGGGAGAATTAAACCGCAGGAACTGAGGTGACCTTGTTCCCTGCTGCTCTCCTCCACGCCTCGTTTTGGCAGGTTTTGTATTGTGATGGATGGAGCAGACCTCTGCATGTCTAGACCACATAATCAGCTTTTTTTTTTTTTTTTTCATGGTGATGGCTTTGACGTGATGCTCCATCCTGCACACTCTGGTGGTCTAAACGGCTTAACCTAGAAGACCAGTGGCACTATCGGCATTTTGAGCTCTGTGGTGAGGGTGTGACAACTCCCTCGAAATTTGATCAACTTCTCTTTGTCAGTGGGGATTTTACTGTTTCTGAAGACAGTCACATTATATGAACTAGAAAGGTGAAAAAAGTGAAGAGCGTTGATTGATAGCTTTGAACATATTACTGTCTAAAAAAATGTTTTAGATTATTAGTAGCAGTATCCTAAAAAAACTTTCTGACAATGCTAGCCAGCTAAAATACTTTACTTAGCATGTGTACATTAGCATTGTACACGGTAAGCTAATTCTGAGTGCAGCTCTACCTCTTTTATTTGCTAGCCAGCTAAAACTTTTATTGCACCCGAAACCTCCAGCAAGTGCTCTAATTCAGTCATTCCCAAAGTCACTTTAAAAACCAGAAAATCCCACAGGGCCCATCCAATCGTAAATCTTCACTCTAGTGAAAGAGACAGTAATGCATGTTCTTAAAAGGCTGTTAGCTATAAATTGCTAATGCTACCCAGTCATATGCAACGTCTTAAGGGCAATGTGTGAAAAACCTGCCACTGGGACACAGACACGATTACCAGTTTCAATTCACTTTTTGTATGAATACATAAACTTATATTACTACGTAACTGTACTAACTTATTACTGTGGCCCGCCTGCAGTACCTTCACAGGCCACCAGGGGGCCCACACTTTGATAATCACTGAACTAGACAAATCAGTTGGTGGGGAAAAAAAGTTCCCCACCAACAAGTTCCCACAAAGTGACCTTCTGACCTCCAGTGTGCACTTTGTAGTGGACGGCTATCTATAACATGGCCTAAGGGTGTTAAGTTACACACAGGATGGCAATGCACTGGTTACTTTTGTGGTTTGACTTCAGCTGTCCACTGCTGCTCATTACCAGAGGGATTTACACGTCATGAAACATAGCTGAGATCTGAGATCATAATATTTCATCTGTATTGAAAATTTCAGCTATTATGCATGAAAGGGATGGTTACAGTTATGTCCCCTACAGCTACTCCAATCTAGTAACCACAGCTGAAAGTGAAGTTTGAGCCAAGTTATGGTAGTTGTAAGTTATTCAGCTGTATTCAAATTTAGCTCCCTAGTCTGAATCCTGAACTGGTGGTTTAGTGTTTGAATCTCAGCAAACAGCAACACTTGTACCTGTTTTTGGTCATCAGTTTTACAGCTGTGCTGTGATAAAGCAAAATATGCAACAAGTATGAAGTTTGATTTTTTTCTTGTGGTGATAGATGAAAAGATCCACAATCAAAGCAAACAAGGAATGAAAGGTGGCCTCACAAATCTTAAAATGAGACGAGTAGATGAAGAAGAAATGTTTGTTTGATAGAGGAGAAAGTGGAGAAGATGAAAGGAGGAAAAACACTGACGGTGAGTTGTGGGAATGACTGCAGAAGGGGCGTCTTATAACGCAGATGACGTGAAAAATGATCCAAAACTGTCTGAAGACTGTAGGCGATTAAAAATAGGAAAGAGGCTGGAGAGCTGGAGGTGGCATGAAGAAAAAATCAGAGTGAAAAATAAAGGATGAGGAGTAGGAGGAGGTATTGATTTGGGTAGTAAACAGAAGGCCTGGATAGAGGAGGAATTGTTGAGGGGGATGAGATGGAAGCATGATATTGATCCAAGGCAAAGAATGAGAGTTAATGGAGTGAGAGGAAGAGACTGGAAGAAGAAGAGCTTTAAACAGCAGGAATAAAGAAAGTAAGAGGTAGAAACAGAGCAATGTGGAAAGAAGACGAGACAGAAGGAATAGCTATGTTTAGGACTTTACTTCCACCTTTATATAAACCAAGACTGGACTCTTGCCCACAGAATATGACACGTTATTGTGTTGAATCCATGCTATAGCACTACCGCGTTCAGATTTACACTTGCCAGCCACTTCATTAGCTACACCTTGCAAATACGGGCTTAGACCCTCTTTTGTCTTCAGAACTACTTCAATTTATTGTGACACAGATTCAAGATCCTGGAAACATTCCTCTGAAGGATTTGCTGACTGAAGGCCCATGATGCAAATACTTCCCCCACACCACTACGACATTTGGATGGTGCACCACTGGACCACTACAATTCTCAACCTACCACTCATCTTAAACACATGAGTGGTAGGTGTGGTCTTCTGCTGCTTTTCAGAGATGCTCTTCTGTCTCCTTTGGTTGCAATAAGTGGATATTTGAGCAGATAAAAGCAGTTTGGCCATTCTCCCCTGACCTTTGACATCAACAAAACATTTTCACCCAGAAAACTTCCATTCACTGGGTATTTTGTCTTTTTCAGACCACTGTTTGCAAACCCTACAGATGGTCTTGTGGGAAAATCCCAGCAGATCGTGGCTTTTTGACCATGCCAATTTCAAAGTCACTAAATTCACCTTTCTTCCTCGTTCCAATGCTCAGCTTGGGCTTCAGCAGCTCGTCTTCACCATGCACTGAGCTACTGCCATGTGACTGGCTGATTAAATATTTACATTAAAGAGCAGGTGAACTGGTTGGCGAGTGTAGATGATGCAGACTAATTGCAAATCCGCACTTGAAAATAACACTAATAATAATAACAACATTATAGCTGGTTAGTTGCTGCTTTTGCTGATATTTCATCAATGTCTTCATATGATTTTTTTTTTTTTGCCACTTTGTCGAAGCCGCTTGTACTTGTTTTTCGTATGCACGCTCCAGGGTCGTCTAACCTGTGTTCAGTAGCTAGTTTTCCTTGGCTGTCAAACCTTTCTCCCTGCTCTAGTAAAGATCAGTTGATCATTGAAACCTCTTGACCAGTTATTAAAATAGACTTTGAGGTGAATTTGTGCTTTTTCCCAAAACAGATATTTCATGCTGATTTGAACACCTTAGACGCCACTATGCATCACCATCCAGTGAGTTCATGTTTTCACCTTTGTTTCTGTTACAATTCACATTCACACGGTGACTGAAATGTTTGGCTCCATAGGTAAGCTGACCTACTGAGTCCTTGCCATAGACTGTCTATAAAAGATGGACGTACCCTCGAGTGTGAAAAGTCAGTGTTGAAAAAACACATTATTTGTAAGGGCCTGCAGGGGGCGACTCCATGATGAGGTGTTTGCTAGCGTCATGTGTCATAAATACAGCATAGTGTACATTTAGTGAAACATGGTCCGACTGAGTATAAATTAAATAATAATGCAGGGTATGCTTGGAGCCATGTCTACTTTGTGATTGACAGGTTATTAGGATTTAATTCAATTCAATTTATTTAAGTAGGTGACATCACAGTGGCTTCATCTATCTTTTAGACACAGTCTGTGGCCATTTTTTAAATTCCTTTATTTATTTTCTTGAAAAACCGGATGTTTAATTTTTAAATGGACATCTTAACCACTGGTTGATTTGCACCCACGATTTTCTTGTTAAAAGCTTATACGGGTTTCAGGTCTGCTGATCATATCTCTCCTGTGGTTTGACAGGAATGCATATACATCATTACCATCTCTCTTTTTTCACACGAACAAATGCACACGCACGATCGCTATATCTGATCTCTAGGCCGTTGAAACTTTTAGGAAGGAGAGAGAAACATTTTTGTACTTTGGTCTTGTTAACGTTGGTTGGCTGAGGTGGTGACGTTGTTAATGTCTGTTGAGCCAGTAAGTCGACACCTTACCGAACTAGCCTCCCCATTCGGTATCAAAATGAAAGGAGTTTGAATCCGATTTTATCAGTTCTTAGATTCATGGAAAATTTTCTTAAAGGTCCCATGCTTCACTGTTTTGGGTTGTTGACATTGTAATCACCTACATGTATGGGACTGTAATTTTATCTTTTCTTTAGATGTTTTTCTAAAGAAAGTTTTAAGCGTCGATTTAAGCGGAAAACAAATAGTTTTCTTTTTGCACTGGAGCTCCAGCAGCAGAAATTAAAACCATCTGCTTCAAATATGTATCAGAACTGCTCTGAAAAACAATAAGCTCAGTCTGAAATGAATTTTTATGAGAGCCAAAGGGAAAGCTGTGTCCTTTATTTAGACAGCGAATGAATCTCCATCAGCAGCAGCGAGGACGCGGGCACATGTTGCAGTGACGGGACAGGTCCTCTGATTCATCTTGTTTGATTTGATTCGGAGTGACTCGACCCTGGGCTGCAGTCACAGAACCAGTGCAGAGGCTCGGAGCTCTTTTATCACACTTAGCGGTGCGGAGGAATTGGAGCTGCACAAACAAGTGTTTCTTCTTTGTGCTCTAATCGCTCACGTCTTACAGCCTGTGTTTATGCAGTCATCCCACCTACCACTTCACATCTGCAGGCCCTTTCTACTTAAACAATGCGTGTGGAGAATAAAATGTTGCATAGAATAAAAAAGTGTCGAGGCCATTTGGTTACTGTGACGCCTCGCATGGCTGGAATATACATGTAAAGTGAAAAGTCAGATCATGCGTGTCCTCAAATCATGTCCTCAAATAGACAACACTGTAGAGCCTCCAGTACTGTAATACATATGCCATAATGAAATTCCTACAGCTATTATAATTACTGCATTATGTTATGTGCATACTAATTCAAGATGCAAATTAATATTTATGTCAAATTCACAAACTCTCGTGACTTCGACAGGAATGTTTAAGAGTATTTTTTAATACGTTCTTTATTCTTTGGAGTTCAAAGTATAAATCAGAAAAAGTTAGGTGAGACAATTTCTTTCCCCCTCAGACATGGGACAATTTTGAAATTGATGTCTTCTTTAAAAGTAGTGAAAAGAAAATGTCAAAAATACAAATGTAGGTGTTTGTATACACTAGTACAAACTATGTGTTGGATAATTGCACAAAGCATTCCCCTTTACTCATTTCCATATTCAATAATGTCAGAAAACTTGCATTAGAAAAAAAATAATAATCATAAACGCTTAAAGTTATAGAAGACCTACCTACCGAGATCTACCTGTATTTTTAAAAAAAGCCTAGCTTAAAAAAGACTTTGTTTGGTGGTTTTATTCTTTAATTTGTAATATATGGAAATTACATGAGGTTAGCTTTTAGTCATTCTGGGCAATGAGAAATTCATTCAGTGCTTTGTGTTTGAGTGAAAACATTACTTAAATGAAGAAGGAAGAATCATTCACACTTCACAGTGTGGAGTTTTGGTTGAAATGGAGGTGGTGGGGGGGTTGAGTCTTTTATTTACGCAGAATCTAATTAGCTTCAATCATTTATCTTCAGTTTTAACAGGTGGCCACACAGAAGTCTTTAAATAATGTTGGTAAAGTCTGCGGTTGGTGGTATGGTGGTAAATGTTTGGGTGTATGTAAATGCTGAGCATAGTAAGGTTACAATAAATCGTACTGGAAAATCTGATTTTCATATATGAAATAAAACAGGTTACTTTGCTCAGATGCAAAGAAATTAAAATGTATGCATTCGTCTGCAGTGTTTCTGTACTCCTGCAGTACTACCTGTACTAGTAGCTCTAAACTGTTCCCATGAGGCAGAAGAATTCAGATCTGTATTTGATCATAATTGTGAAATTAAAGTGATTTTTAATAGCTGTCAGCAGCGTTTGCTGGAGCGCAGCACAATTCAGTTTACTGCAGCAATTATGTTCTGAATGAGACTGTCGGGAAATGAGTGGAGAGGACAGGAAAAGCCCCCATGGGTTGGAAATCACTCATCTCCCATGACGACAGCACAGCCATTGGCGCAGAGAGAGAAAGCTAGACGGTTTGGTTTTTGCCTCTATCTCTGTCTGATTACTGATCTGTGAGTGTGTGCTTGTATCTGTCTGTCTTTGGGAGGATCACTGAGAGTTTCAGAACATGCTTTTGGGATGTGATGACATTTCAGTGGTCTTCACTTTGAGTCAGAGCTTCAGGTGACAGTTTTAAGCTATTGGGTATTGCCATTGTGGTGTTTTTTAAAATAAAAGCTGGTAATTAATGCTAAGTAAACCCTCAGTCACACGGGTCCAGAGACTGGTTGGTGACCACTCTGGGAAACATACTGAGTACCCCCAACTGATTGGCTAATGGTTGAAATTGGCTGCAAAGAGGATG